AGCCTGGTTCTGTATTTTTCGTATCATTCTTTGAAACCTGACTGAAGTTATGTGCGGAATAGTCATTACGTTCCCATAAAGCCAATCTACTTTCTGTGAAACTACCTTTCAAACTCACTCTCACACTACCCTCTCCCTCCAGCGAACACCGCCAAAAACATCTAAATGTGTACTTTGATAAATTCGTGGAAGAGTCAAGGTTCTGTTCGCTGTAGTATCGTGTCACGAGTTATGCACTGCTACAAAAATCCTGATTATATACAAATCAACATCGTTCGCAGTAATGTCGTGTCACTTTATATTCGTCATCAGGAGCTCGAGTTATATTATGTCTGTTTATATTTAACTTCAGATAAAGTTGATGTAAACGTTGTACATTTTCGATAGGCCTCTTTTGCGAACTGGAATCGTCTTTTAACCTTTTATCTACTAAAGGATCATCCATGGCCCATTCGTAGAATTGTTATGGAAGATAATCAAACATGTGATAAAAAATGCATTGCTTTTGAGAACAAGATAATTCCATAAGCTATCGATTGAAAAGAAAAGACTTTATTTTCTATTACTTTTTGGGGCTTCATTATCTTTTTATAACAATTCTACAACTGGGTCATGGGTGACCCCTTGGTAGGTAAATGGTTAAATACTCCTGTCACTGTATTGATTTTTTAGGTGCATCCTGCTTTATGTTACTCGGAAATAAACGAGAACAGTTCTACAGTATCAGCCTGTCTAGAGCGCCACACTTTAATTGACTAGAAAAATGATGTCACTCAATTTGATTACTGAGATAAACTTCAGTATGTCGGACATTGTATACAGTGAATTAAGAGTTTTCGAATTTTCCTGTTCTTAGTTTAGATTAATTTTGAAGTTATGTTTTATAAACAAAATTTGAATTAAATTAAACCAAATTAAATAAACAAAAGTTGTATAAAGTTTGTATTTTCATTTGTACAGCGAAAGCAAAGCATAGAAAAACTAAATAGTATCAACTGTATACTCCCCGTCAGGACAGACAAATTCCCGAGGATAGAAATACAGCCATATTATTGCATATAAACCATACTAACGAGCGAACCTCCCGAGATGCCCATTTCCGATTCAAATGCTTTGTACATGGATTGATAGACCTCAGTGAGATAGTGAATACCCTAAAAGCACTCGGACCCATAACTCTTGAAGATCCAGTTTTCGGGAAACTCCGTTTTTCAGAAACTCTAAACAATAACCAGAAACTTTTCTTAATGAAGCATAATTGTGGCCTGTAAATTTTTGATTAAAATGAGACGTCTCCCAGCTCTACACGATCTTTCTTTACAAAGTTATACAATTGACAAGAAAAGCCCTAAATTAACTTTTTCTTATTTCTGCAGCTTTGAGCTAACAATGAATATTTAGGGCTTTCTTGTCAATTGTATAACTTTGCGAAGAAAGATCGTGTAGAGCTAGGAGACATCTCATCTTAATCAGAAATTTACAGGTCACAATTATGCATCATTAAGAAAAGGTTTTGGTTATTGTTCAGAGTTTCTGAAAAACGGAGTTTCCCGAAAACCGGATCTTCAAGAGTTATGGTTCCGAATGGTTTTAGGGTATTTACTACCTCACTAAGGTCTATCGGTCCATTTACAAAGCATTTGAATCGGAAATGGGCATCCCAGGAGCTTCCCTCGTAAGTATTTGTTGGCCTCTGGATGATTTTCTAAATGTCACAAATCTGGTATTAAAGGTACCTTAGAGCTATCTGTCCATTCGTGGACTATCTTATTTGAGCATAATACTTTGAATAGGATATTCTTCTTCTGGCATGAAAGTAAAAAAACAACGCATCTTCGTCTATGTACATATTGAAAACAGAAATATTCCGATTAAAGTTGTTTGATTTTCATGTTTTAAAATTACATCTTTTTCAAATCGTAAAGATAAAGTAGTAGAACAGTTGTATAAATTAACCATGAAAATACCTAATTTATTCCGCTAATTCAATCTCGCCACACACTTGACATGTCTCACTCAATTCGTCTGGATCAATTTTATCAAATATGCTTAATAGACGAGAAGATACGTCATAAAATTGGCATCCAACAGCTGATCAATTAAGAGTATCCCGCTCTTTTTTGAAAACATTTCGGATTTTGAGCTGAGAATGGAGAGAAAAGTGTGGGCTACAAAATGAGACCGCTCGCCGCGCTGCACGACCTTTCTTCAAAAAGGTATGCAGTTCTGAAGTTTTTGTTTCAAAATCTGAAAATACTCAATTTTTTACTTTCATAAACTTTTCTCTCCTTTTCTGTACATTCAACATTTTTCATACACATAGTCTGGTAAAAGAAAGTGTTTTCTTCACAATGAGACGTCTTCCAGAATTTTTCGATGAGTTTTCGTGGAGATATAAGCATTGTGGCAAATACTTCGAAAAAAAGTAGCCTATGTATGTATAAAATGCGTTTTTTCTCGAAACTATCGTTTTGCTACCGGGTTTCATTGGACCACATTACAACTCCCCTTAAATTTCAATCAATCGCGTTAAAAATTTTACCAGAAGTACTCAAGACACTATTGCAGAGGTCTATTTTTTGGAATTTTATTTTAGATCTTTCTTTTCCGAATTATGGGGTTTCTAAAATTGAACAATTTGGTTTTTGAGACGTTTTTCAGTACTTTTCCTATAACTCGAGCAGCCAAGATCTTAAAAGAATTTCGAAAATTTACCCTTACAATCGTCTCTTGAGCATCTCCAGTAAAATTTTTAACTCGATCAGATGAAATTTAAGGCGGGCCGTAATGTAGTCCAACGAAAAATCGAGTTTTTCTGGAAAACTGATGAACGGCAATAGTTAAAAACTTGAAGCAAAAACGAAAAAGTGTTCCATTAAATTTCCAATCAGTTCTGAAAATATAAAGTCTTACGAGGCAAGGTCCTCAAGTGTGCAGTCGCTTTTTGCTTGAACTCTAGTGGACAATAGGTAATCGACTGTGCTAATTCGAATCTGACATCAGTCTGTGCTGTTAGGTCTCCAGAGACCGGGTTTCTGGGAAACTAGGTTTTCAGAAACTCTAAGCAATAACCCAAACATTTCTTAGCGAGGCATGATTGTAGACCGCAAATTTCTGATCAAAACGAGATATCTTCCAGCTCTACACAACCTTTCTTTGCAAACTTATAGAATTTACACGAAAAGCCCTAAATGCTCATTGTTCAAAGCTACAGAAATAAGAAGAAATTAATTTAGGACTTTTCGTGTAGTTTCTGCAACTTTACAAAACAAGATCGTGTAGAGCTTTTAATTAGAAATTTGTGGTCTACAATTATGCCTCATTAAGAAAGGTTTGGGTTATTTTTTAGAGTTTCTGAAAGCCTGGGTTTTTCAGAAACCTGGTCTCTGGAGATCTAACAGCACAACCCTATATCAGATTCGGATTTAGCCAGTCAATTACCTATTGTCCACTAGAGTTCAAGCAAAAAGCGATTGCACACTTGAGGACTGTTCCTCGTTAGGGACTTTTAGCCTTTATTTCTGTGGAAAGCCCAAAAACAGAGGAGAGGTACCCTTAACCTACAGTGGCTCCACGTTTTTTCACGATTCTGTTCGTTCTTCGGTCTTACTTTTCATACTGGGTGATTCCAAAGAAAGAAAATCTGTTCAAACCAAACTCAAATATTTTATTTACAAAAAAATGTCAACAAAAGAACTCTGAAATTCTTAAAAGTACACCTCTGATTAGAAAAACTGTGTTTTCAGTGTAACATTTGTCAAGCCAATGGTGCGTCGTACCATGTATTTTGCTCTCTTGCCTTTACGCTTAGTACATTAAAATATTTTGATTCATTATAAACTCAAATTTTTATCATAAGTGTTTCTGAAAAGTTTTAGCTTGTATGTATTTCATAGATTTTAAAAATTGGACTTTCTATTGTTGTTGTTTTTTTATGGCAATTTGCAATTCGTCAGACAGAACATAGTTTGAAAAAGGAAGAAGAGCAGAAGACTGAATTTGTTGTTGTAGTGCATATAAAATATATCTTTCTCTAACCAAAGGTGTAATTTTAAAAATATTCTCATCATTTAATATGTATTATTAATATCATAGGTAAAAAACTTTATAATTGATTAGATAGATAATAATGAGCTTTCTTAACACAAGCTCAACAAAATATTAAAATTTGTTAAGATTAAGCAATGAAAGACCAAAAACTTTGAGTTCAATGGATAAAATACAATTTTGAATGTATATATATTTGCTACTAAATGGCTCATTAAATCACTCTTGATTATTCTAAATTTGATAAATAAGCATTAGGCTAGTACTTGTACCATGAAAATAATAGGACTTCTTACCTTATTTATTTCAGATGTACAGACTTTCTTAGTAGTCTTTCGTAAAAGCACAGTACTTTTACGTTTTCTTGTTGGTATTTGAGTACTCGATGGCTGATGACCTAAATAATTACAGTCTTAGCTTTAATCCTTCAGTTTTTAATATACGTACGAATTCGAGTAATGATTCTCTGTCGATCTAGAAGAAAGAAAAATATTATTTGAACCGACAAAAATGTTGTGAAACATACACACATACACACACCTATTTCCTCCATCGTCATTGCCGATATTACAGTATTGGTTAAATATTCAAGTTCTTCTTCTTTTATATCGACAGTACATGGTGTATCTGACTTACAATTGTTGTTCAATTGTTTTGAGCCACGATATCGACATACTGTGAAAGCGTACCGTGATTTCTCCAATTGAAATGTGTTAATCAATTCAGAGGGCGTCATTAAGGTACCTAACGTAAAAAATCGAATAAATAATCAAGAAGTATTACATGAAATGGTATGAGCAATCGAATTTTTTTGATAGATTGGTATAGTTTTGTATAACGCTTGAAAGGGTTACATAATCCAAATAGATTTCATAAGAAATGTAACCCATTCGCTGGTATTTATCTATCTCTATTTTGTTATGTGTCTTTCGTTATTGTTTCTGTTTTTTCTATCGTACTGATAAACCTAATCAATTCTTAAAAGAATTTGTATTCCACGAAATCCTTTTTCGATTACAATCATAGGGTTTCGAAAAGTAAAATTATTTCAAAACTTTGCTGTACAACGTAAGTCTATGTATCTCTTACTTAAAGCTTGTGAATTGTTCCCTTCACGGAATTTTTTCAATGATTTAACGTGCGTCAGTTTGTCGAGCTTTGTGCGAATGCACACAATTTTGACCCTATAAATCATCAACAGTAGAAAACGTCCTATAAGATTTACGTTTTCATTACTTCTTTTTCTTGGCACGAAGGTCCTGTTTTGAAAACGGAAAATATACTCTACTTCTATCTTTTACTCTTGAATTTTTATTGTCTCTTTGAATCTTATTTGCATGTATGTGCAGCTGTCCGTTGTACAATTCGGTTACATGAGCCAATTGCAGTACCAAATTGTCCTCGTTGTCAGGTATTCCAGATATCTAAATTATACACAAAAATGATATTTTGTATTAAAAAGATGTTACATTCTTACTTCTAGTGTAATAAAACCCTTATTATCTTTGTTTTTTATATGTTGTGGTGGCTGTGGTTTTCCGGCGTTTGGACCATCTCGAGGAAAACAATCGGATTTATTTTGTGGCCGAAATGTGGGAAATATACCGCCTACAATAGAAACTACTCCAATGGCTGTTTTATTTTCAATTGAAAATTCTCCAATTGGTAATGTGTGATCTAAATAATTGCTTAATCTATCAGTGGAATAAATTTGAATCAACTTAACTTACGAAATGATCTAATACCTAGGTCATGATCGTTAGATGCATTGTTGTTCAAATTGTTCATATTATTATCTGAAACTGATGTTTCACATCTGTTTGTACAAACATGATCGTTAGATGCATTGTTGTTCAAATTGTTCATATTATTATCTGAAACTGATGTTTCACATCTGTTTGTACAAACATGATCACGCGAGTCATCTTCGGCTCTAGGTTGTTTATGGCCACTTGCTTCAGAATCAGTGCTGTTACCGATGGTGTCTAAAACGGCCATATTTTCTGTATATTTTTTCTCATAGTCTTTAGATTTGCTTATAATAATATACAAAGACAAAACTAATAGAAATACCTTTTGCATATTTCTTTTCCATTTCTTTTAACTCCTCGATAAGTTGCTCAATAATAAATGAGATATCTGCTGCTGTTGCATCAGCGTCCATACTCGTGATACACTGTTTAACAGCACATTTTTGTGATTCATGTGTCGGTTCGCCAAATACCCCATCATTTATGTTTGTTGTTTCTACAGCCTCGAACGGCGCGTGCCACTGAGTTTGCCTTCTCTCTGCAGTCTCTTGGCCAAATTGAATATCTGGCCGAAAAACAAAGACTACTTATTCTATATTTCGCTATCAACGTTACTTACCTATTGTATTAGTATCAGAAAAATATTCTTCATATATTAGATTTGTACCTTCGAAAGTGAATATCAAATTTTAATTTTGTACAGATGAGTTTTACTAAACTATATCTGCTCCAAAGTCAACCGTTTCCACATTATTGACCATTAAAGAAGAATCAATTATGGTTTTGTCAAAATTTATACCTTCTATATCGATATATGGCTCATATGGTTTTTGAGTTCCATTGAATATCTCTTCCAACTCTGGTTCTTCTTGTGCAAAATCGCCTAAAGTAGAGTATATATGTAATATGTTGAATTGAATCTCATTGAAGTAATTACAAAGGATATGATGATGCATCGAATTTTTTGGATTAATGGTATTAGTCAAGATGATTATGCCCGAGGAGTACAGAGCGCACCGATATAACCGTTGATGTTACCATGACTTCAATGTTAAAATATTTACGATTCTCGCAAAACATCTTGTTTTTTATGTGATTTAGTTGCACACTGCAGAATTTAGCAATAGATTATTTGGTATTCCATTGTGAAAGATCATTTGGGCAATTGCATAGAACAAACTTTTTGGAGATCCTTCGCAAAAAAGTATTTAGTACTGGTCTGCTACCTCCTTCTGATACAACACATTCCTAACCGACACATACATTAGAAGGAATCACTTAGAAAAATTTTTCATTTATTTCTCAATTAAAAAAAAAGAAACGGTTTATACAGCTATGAGATTGCAAATTCCGCCTTCTCCAAAAATCGTAAACCTGACAATGACAAATCGTTTTATTTTGCGTTTTTAGACCAAATGACATCCAATGAATTTGTCTGGTCAAAGAGTACCAAAACTCCTCGACCGACAGTTCTGTTCTTCCTTCATTTTTCTCATGAGTAAACTCTCAGCTATAATATTTTATTTTATTAATGATATTAACTAAGACCACTCATTTGAGAGCGAAATCTTATTTTCCTCGGCATTTTATAACAGAAACTAACTTTTAAAATGATGACTAACGTTTTTTTTGTTTTTTCATTCTTTAATGGTCATTACATTTTTTTGAAAAACACGGTTGCTGCATAATAATCCTTTTTCTGCTTTTTATTTTGACGAAAAAATGTTGCCTTTCTTTCTATATTGAGTTAAGTCAGTTCGATTTTAAGGGATTTTTGTTAGTTGGAACAAACCAAGGAATAGAAAACAAATACTTATGTAGAATTACACAGCTGATTATTAAGAGTATATTTGTCCTTGATCTCTTGTTTAAACTTGAATACTTACTTACATAATATAGTCTCGTTTTTTTTACTTTTGCTGTATGAAATCTAAACTAATACCTTATGCCCTATTTTAAGAATCTTTAAATAGCGTATTATTATTCAAACATACAAGAAAAACGCAGTTTGGCAGTTTAAGTCGATCACATTATTCGCTTGAACTTACTTCTAAGATAGTCTCACGAGGGAATCTCTTGAGGTTATAAATCGCTTTTGAACTCGGACTACTTGTATCTTGTAGACCTCAGTGAGTAGTGAAATACCCTAAGTTG